ACAAGGTCTCTATGAATGAGGGGGTGTGATTTATCCCGTGCGAGTCGGGCACTCACTTTCCGGAGCTCCGGAAGGTGGTCAATGCGTAGGCATTCCACTCCTCCAGGTAACAGGTCAGCAGATATCTTTCCAATGACATCGATTAGCGATTTTTCACCGTTTTGATACCATATTTATTTCTCACAAGAAACCTTAAAATAAAAAAAAACCAACCATTTGGTGTCGTCGAATTTAGAAAATTTAAAACGGCTTTCGTTCTACCGATGAACAAACAATCCAAATTCCCGCGATCCCTTTTAATAGTTCTCAAGATCTAGTTTTGTTGAAAGAAAATTATGTTAACCGAAAAGTTACGCATGACCTAAGAGGCTTCGGTTTGCTGTTAGCAAGCAAGTATAGAAGTGAATATTTCTTTTATGGATATTCGGAAGAACATAAAACGTTACGACTAGCGATATATGTATATACCGAAGCACCAAATCGCGCCAGACCGATTTGTACGATTTATTCAATAAATTTAAAAAAAATACATTTAAAATGTAAACTAGATGATGTGTGAAGAATGTTTGAAATAAGACTCAACCAAATCAAACTTTTTTTACCTTTTTTTTTTAATTAAAATTAAAGCTTTTTTTTTACTCGTACTAAAAATAATAAAAACTTAACAATGTTGCCACATGTAATCTGTTATAAAATACCCATCTTGCATTCTTCATTTTAAATTTAAACATTAGCACGAAAAAAAATTAAAAAGCATAATTTAATTGTTTAATTGCTTTAAAAAAAAAAAAAACAATTTTAGTACATTTAGCTAAAACAAATTTTGAATTTAAATTACATTTTGTACGTCTTCTTTTTGGAGCCATCGTATTTATTTCTGTTCTTGCACTGAGTTAATTTAATTTAACTTATTTTCCATAATGATTTATAAAGTTTTGCAAAAAATGTTGAGTATATGCTCCTACATAAAATTAAAAAAAAATTCGAATATGTTTATTATGTCTGCCAAAGATATTAATGAAAAATATTGCAAAAAAAAAATAATTTTAAACAAAAATCATAGCAACAAGTTTAGATAGACATAAGCGCGTACATGCAAAACAGTATGCGTTTTCATATAACCCTCGTCCCTCTTCCCCCTTACTTAGCTGCAACTAATTAAACTGCAAAACGCCTTCTTCAACCAGTTTTGACACAGAAAGAGAGTACACGATGGCTATAGTTATGAGATAATTATGCCCACATACATATATGTATACATCTTCACATACACATAGCAATTGCTAACAAATTGGTACGGTACACAAAGTTGCCGAAGGACAAGAAAGCAGCTGCAAATTTATACTCAATCCATATTAGTAGAATTAAGTTCCCTTATTCAAATACTGCTTACTGCTTAAAAAGTCAGTTTAGTTTTTAAGAGAAAAGTAGAAAAGTAAAGGGAATAAATTTATTCGCACCCGCACTTATCGCGTTTTAACGAAACCAATTTTAAATTCAAGACAGACATACATACATAAGAGTAAATTAAATCAAGATCAAAAACGTAGCTTAATATTTATGCAAAGCAATGCTTAAAGCATTTGAATATTTTTTCCCTACTCCAACTTTTTAATAAATAAACATTTACGATACTGAATTTACTGAATTGTCACAAATTTTTAACATAAATCCACAAACCTATGCATATATGTATACACATCAATATGTATATATAAGCAAAACTAAATAAAAACTAGAATAAAAAGAATATGAAAACATATATAAATTCAAAAACAAAAACAACAAATAACTGCGTGCATGTGCTCAAGCAACAACTACATAATTTTTTTTAGAATAAAAAGCACAAAAAAAAAACTAGAAATAAAAATATTTTAAATGAATGAAATTACTTCTCTGCTCGCGTGAGAACACAGTTCAGTAGAGCATACAAGTATTTTGGTAAAGACTCTTTGAAAGCTAAAAATATTGCATACAAACAAAATCATGAAGTGCAATATTAATAACAAACGCTGAGCAGCAATATAATTTGTGGAGAAAAGACTAACAACAACACAACTGGCAAGTATGAATGAATTTCAAACGCAGCCAACACGCCAAACGCCAAACTACAAAAACAAAATGCAGCAATGCAGCGAAAAAAAAATGCACGAGTGGCTACAAAAAATAATTAAAAAGCAGTAAAAGCACAAACCATGAATGAATCAAATCTATGAAAACATATGCGCAAAGAAACAAAAACGAGTATTTTTCTCTTAAACTGGGCACACTACTCACACTCACACAGCGCCAAGTGCACACAACAAAAACAAAAACAAATTCTTGGTTACCCACACAGCCGATGTGTATACAACAGATGTGTATACATACATATTGATCTTTGCAATGCCAGCAACAGATGAAAAAAATAATATTTTAGTTTTTTATGAAGAATTTTTGTTGTAAAAAAATTATTGCAAACATTTGAAAGCACAGAAAAAAGCAATACACAGCAAATAAGTAATAAGTAATTTTTATTTGTTATTTTATAATTTATTATCTTATCTTTTGGCTGAGTATTTCAAAATATATTCTGCGCGAAATCGAAAAACAAATGCTTTTTATTTTGATATTACATTTGCAACGCGATTCCTAAATTAAATCGTCGAATAGCGTGAAGAACAAAAAACGAAAACAAAAGAAAATTTTCGAAGCAGTATTTTTTTTTTTTGTTTTTATTTAGAGATAACATTTATTTTATTTTAGTACAAATTTCTTGTTTCATGTCCTTTAACATTTAATTTTTTTTGTCAAAAATAATGAATTCCATGAAATATTTCAGATATAGATATAATTTAAGATGACATTGTATCAAATAAATATTATATCAGATTTTGATGACTAATTATTTTTATGTGAAAAAAATTATCACTAAAACATCAATCAATCATAATTTATTTAGTTGCCTTTAAAGTAGTCTCCATCGAAAACTAAACAACTATGGCAACGCTTGACTAACCCTCTACACATATTCCATCAGTTGATTTGATATACCGCTTAACTCCACATTTTGCTAATTCTATCCTTCGAAACAGAAAGAAATCATATAGAGGTCCACAGGAACCTCAAGTTTGATCCGATCAAAAAAATACATATAGGATAGAGCCCTAAAATTATTTACGAATACTGAGACGCTTACCAACACCGCGTTATCGAATCTCAAAATGGTTTCAGGCTCCTTGGGGAGGTATGCGGATCTGATGTCAGTTATTGCTTAGTCTGATGAAGTGATAAACAATAATCCAGTCTAGGCGTAGAGAGGGCTTATGAAGAAACCTCGAAATTAATAGAGAGTAAAAGTGCTCAAATGCACTGACTCAACTAGCCTCAATATAATAATAAAATTCTTTTCACACAGAATATACACATATACGTCTGATTTATTATAATATACATTCATTTTAAATTTCCAAGAAAATCTATTTATTTAAAAGAACAAATAAGAATAATATTTAAATTGTGAATTCCGAATTACTGATTACCGATTAATAAATCAATAAAAATGTCGTACGATCAATATCACCTAGATCCAGTTCCGGTAAGTATTATTTAATTAAAAACTATTTGCATGAATCATAATAAAAGTTTAAATTTCCTAAATTAATCTTCGTTTTCATCAATTTTGGACTTCACCAGAGCAACGCTTAAATCATCAAACGAAACTTAGGGGTAACCTTTACGAGAATTGTAATCCACTTCAAGTTGGTCACAAGCGAATGAACATTGACTGTTTTAAGGAATTTGGCACTCATTAAATATTACCAGAATACAGTGGCGGAGCTAGACCAACTCTGCACGACGTCACATCAGAATTGCGAGGCCCCCTTTATAACCCAATTTTATTGTTAATCAAATTAAAATAAACACAAATTAAAATAAATGAATTTTCCTGCTTTTAGCCTCACTCTTTTTAAATTATATCATAATTTGTGCCATCTGCTATTTTTGCTTCAGTTTATAGAATTTCCAATGGAGATAGTCTCTCTTGGATCATAATACTTTTCTAGAACGTCTTAATCAATTTTAACTTTGAGAAGCTTCTTTCTGTCGAAGCTATACTGACTGAAGCTGTGAACATGAATCTGGTTACTATAAAAACATTCGGAAATACTTCGAATATGGTTAATGTCATTATCAGACCAAATTGTTCAAAATATTTATTAAGTGCTTAGAATCCACAGTCGCTAACTTTTTGCGAGGCCCCTGTGGGCGCGAGGCCGTCGGCGGTCGCCGACATCGCTGACGCCTAGCGACGCCACTGGCAGAATACTCTAATATTCTAATAAATAAAACAATTTGCAGAGTCTGATACTTTACTCAAAGATTGATATATGCATAGGTGATCGATAAACGTACTACAAAGTTGTTAATTTTTTAAAATCAAAAATATAACAAATCATTAAAATATAGTTATCAAAACTTTCCGCAAAAATGTGAATGGACAATCATTACAAAACTTAGCTTAGTTTTATTATCTGGAACAATTTTTGTATGTTTTGTAAACTTAATTTGTTTCGTTGTTAGTAAATACCATTCCTTCTTTTTTTTTATTAAACTCGACATATTTTTAAGAAAAAAATTATTATTTAATTGGCAATTCAATTAAAAAAACTATTGTGCCTTTATCATTAAATAAAAAATCATTTATACTTATATTTATTTATCAGATTGTTATCTGTAGATACTTTTTTTGAATCAAAGTTATTTGTACTTTATACAATTTTTACACACTCACATGAATTTTATCTTGTAACAAAAAACTAATAAAAAAATATTTGTAGTAATAAAGTTGAGATGTATAGATGTCAAGTTTGCATAAAACATATTTGAACACGAAATATTGTAGAAATAATTTCATATTTTCTGAATAAGTTATAACTTAAAACATATTAACAAATAATAATATATAATGCATAACACAAATATATATAAAATTAAATGAAATATATTTTTATACTCACCAATTGACGGTTCATGATCAGAAATATCGGAGGTTATACTAGAGATAGCGGGAGGAATTTCTTTTGTCCTATCTTCTGGTTCTTCTTTTATAAAAAAATTAGTCTGTATAAAACGAAAATGAAAACATAAATAAATAATATTAAAATATCAATAAAAATATAATTATTAATATGTTTATTAAGAATTAACACAATAATGTTCTTATATCATTAACAATAAAATTTTAATTTAATTATCATATAAAGTTTTTTAATTATTATATTTTACACAAGTTACTTATGAACCCTATAATTAAAAAAAATTATATAAGTCGAAGAAAAATAAAAATCCATTTAAAAAAAAAATAAATAATTAAAAAAGCTTTCATATCAAAACCAAACTGTACCATATGTACATAAAGCCCAGCTGATAGCACTTAAAAATCAAATTTGCTAAAAATAAGTCGACAAAAGCAATGATTTTTCGTGGAAAATAATTGTATCTAAACAATTAGGTTATACATTCATACCTAGGTTATTCGGTTCAAAATATCGATATTTAATATAATTAAAAAAACTAATATTACAGCTATATAGATTTCTGAACCGATATACAGTTTCAATTAAAAATCTTTGTAAATATGAAAACTCATTTCTGATCTATCAGCTTAAATGACAGTTAAGTAACGTTCACCAGTTTTGGAGAATCCATTAAATTCCATAATAGAGAAACATATATACAGACAATGAGAGATCTCTCCGATTCTTATAACTAAAAAAAAACGCAATTTTTCCCTGCATTTTATCTGCAGAATATTTATAAATCTTAAAAAAAAGAGTTATAACTCTTAAAGGAAAAAGCAGTGCCACATTAAACAATACTTTGCATTAGAATCGAATCGTAGGTGGTACTTGGCTTCTGCTGAAAAAATTTATCTTAACTGAAACATTCTCAAAGCTACAACAACTGAGCGTAGTTATAATGTTATCTAAAAATTGTATGGATTATCTATAACAGCATTTGAAGAAAGTTTTTAGAAATCATTACAAACATAGTTTTCAATTAAAATGCAGTGGTTATCTTTCAACATAATCCATTAATTAGTTCCATTAAACTTTTCATATTAGTACCATCTGTATTACAGATTGATCTTCAACAATCATATTAAAATTAATTAAAGTTCTGTATCGTTTTTGACATGTATGTATGTATGCATATATGATCTGTGCCTAGTGAAGTAATTATTTATTGCTAAACATACATTCTTTTGTAATTCCTTGAAGTTCAATACCAAAATCTGTTTATTCAATCTTTTTTTGTTAATATTCTCATTTGCCATATTATTTTAGTATGCACTTCTCAGTAGGAAGGAAGATAAAAAAAAAACATCTGAACAGTATTTTTGCAATAGCCTTTGCAAAGTAAGATTAAAACATTCCATTATGATGAGTTTCATCATATTTATTAAGAATTAAGGAGATTGACGCACATTACTAGCATAGATCTTCAAAAAACAATTTCTTTTATCAACCTCACATGTTGCTTTTAATCTTAGATCTTCATAACCGGGGGAAATCACCTATTCAATATTACAGAAGAAGAGGAAGCTCACTAAAACCAAACTATTTCTCAAATTTTACATTTGATCTTGGTCTTGTCAGCATATCACCATGCCGATTCACATACAAAGTTATTCTTCCAACTTAAAATTCAACTTAGGTCGCCGATCTTTTATTTCACAAAACAATAGATGTGAACATTCTGTGAACAGAACATTCTTAGAGACATTAGAGATTTATAATGTATGTAATTCGTAAACATTGTGCCAAATCTACACGACATAAATTAGAGGAGTATCCAAGCATATACACACTTTTATATATATACACTACTATAAACACATATATATAATAAAAATCATAGTTCGTGCGATATAACACTGCTTCGAATATTGAAAAGTCAACCTTTAGCAATATGTAGTATTTCATGGTATACGGGTAAAAAAAGTTACTCCGAGTAATTGGAGTACCTAAAAATCTATTTCATCCTAGATTAAACTTACTATACTCCAACAATAACTTTTTTTTTGCGCTTTTATGTATATACTACCTATCCAGTTTAGTTTCAGTCTCAATTTAATATCAATTATTAAGGAAATAAATAAAAGTATGTTATGCTACTGAACATAGACTTATCGAGAAAATACATTGTTCAATTTGTTACTCTAGTTTGCGTTGTTTTAGTCACGTCATGGAATGAATGAAATACGGAAAAAGAGTTTTTTTTATTCTAAAGCTAGTGAATGGACTTAATTTTCCGTTTGTTCCTTCAGATGGCTTCGACTCTGAAGCGAGTAATTTATAATTACCCATAAACGCATTTTATCGGGTCGTATTATTGCAGTCGTATTTTATCGTATTCGTATTTTGCAGTCGTATTTTGTCGTAATATTTAAAAATGCGAATGATAACAGTTATAAGGTGATTTTTATATTTTAATGATAACTGTTACAGTCCCTGATTTAAATCCTTAAATACATTTTGTATGAAATAACAAATACAACTACCTTACATGAAAAATGCATTTTATATTTTTGTTTTTCAAAATATCAGGCAGGCCAATGTGAGTTATATTTTATTTCCAAAATTAAGAGTTATTATAGATTATTATATTTTTAAGGCAAAAATAACAGTTATTTGTGCATTTTAAAATAAAAAGCAGAGTGTAGGAGTTATTCCTGTGTGAAAAAATAAGTCATATGAAAATAATTATTTTTAATAAATATATTATAAAGCAAATTTAATTATTATTTTTTCTGTTATTTTAAAACGCTCATATATAAAAAAACATGCATAATATTAAGGATGAAAGCTGTTAGAATGATAACTATATACTTAAATATGAGTTTAGACAATTTTTGTTGCTGATTTTTTTTCTGAAAAATTGTTGAAATCACTGTTTACATATTTTTGGGTTTAAATGACTTCTACTCAACTATGTCTGACAATTTCTTTCGATACTTGGAATACCTTGTCTACTAATTCTTTATTTGAATTAACGATGTTGCAGAAATTAATTGAATAAAATGTTCAGTATGAAATTAATTCAGGTTTATTTTTCCTGTTTACACATCATGGGATGAAAAATAAGTGAGACAACTTTTTAGAATAAAAAACATTAATATCTGTCAGATACAATAAAAAAAAACTATATTAGTTATCTAATTGTATGTCTGTTGCTAAAATCATAAGTATAGGATAGGAAAGGATAGGAATGAACGCGGTACTAGCTCCCGACGGAGTAGAACACTGCGACCAGATTGATCTTTTGTGCTGCAACAGACCCTAACCAAACAGAAGAATGAATGAAGGCCAGAATGTCGTCCGTTGAGTACCTCCTAATGTCAGAAGCGGAGAGCAGCTTTCCTCCTAGTGACCTCCTCCTGGCCCAGATCAAGGCTGGACAATCACAGAGAATGTGATTGGAAATCTCGTCTACTTGTACGCAGAGTCGACACTCCATCTCTTCGGACAGACCTATTTTTTTTTTAATAGAAGCTTTAATAGAAGTTTGCTGCTTGATAAATATATTCATTTTTAAAATGTTTTTTTTAAATAATAAATTACACTATTAAATTGTGCAAAGTATTTAATTATAATTTAATTTTTATTCATAATTAATTATATTACAAATATGTCGATCTACTTCATAGACCATCTTCTGAACAACGAAATATTTGTAATATAAATAATTTTGTATAAAAATTAATATATAATTATATATTATATTTATTTTTCATATTTAAACCAAAGCACTTTGCGTTCCCCGTTCCAGTGAGAACTCCGGAATAAAAAGTATATAAAAATACGCCTTTTTAGAAATGCAAAATTGTATAAAAATTTCAAGTCCATTCAACAACTATTTTTTGAGTTCTGCAGTCAAAAACATACGAAAAATTGATTTTTATATATAAATAAAAATAAAAAGGATTTAGTTAAATAAAGTACGTCTGTGTAACATATATTTTCAGAATTCTTCCATTCTGTGAATGAGGAATTGTATATATTTAGATAATGTTTACATTATACATACATATATGACAATAATAAAGTAATAACATTAATAATTTAAATAACAAATTTTTCGGCGACTAAAATTTATATTTAAATAAATTCAGATTATCGTCAGAAATATAAACTTATCAGCTTGTCTTTGATTTCTTATAATTTCTTATAAATTCAATTATTTTAAACTGGTATGTAGCACAAAAAATACTATAAGAAACGTGTGATCATGATGTTGTGATAATAAAGGTCAGTAGTCAACCGATTGTTTTACAAACATAAAAAAGTTCTAATCAGTTAAACAAAATTATTTATGAAATACTTTTTTTAACATAACAAAACTTTAAACAATTGATAGTTTTTAAAAATACCAAACATTATTTTAGTAAATACGCATTTAAGCATTTTGTAATTTATACAATCACAGAGATTGAAGTCTTGGCATTACATTGCACAACATTATAGTATTATTAGTAAATATTCTAGTATATAATATCTGTAGTATTTATTCTAATATCTATTAGTAAATATCTGCAGAATTTCTAAATAATTGCTAGTAATCCGAAAAAGTAGACCCAATAGCGTTACAGTCTCAATCGTATAGATTAGATTTCAGATATTTTGACTTACATTAATGCCCACTTTAGTTATTATTTGTTTTATACTACTATCTAACTAACTATCTATCGTATTTAGTAGTATTTCATTTATATCCCTTAATATCATTACGTTACCATATCGCCTTTGTTAAATAAGTTCACTACTCACCAAGAAACAAGAAACTATTGTTTAGTAACGCTAATGTCTTAAAAAATTTCAAAGATGAATTTCAAGAAATCTCATTTTAGAAATAATCACTAGAACTTTTTATTTACTAATGGATTGAAATCACCATGCTAAGCTTTCTTAAATCTGTAATAATAATATATCTACAAAATTCGATAAAAATCATAACTATAACCCAAACGCATCATGTTAATAATAATAATTAATAATAAAAAAAATCAGTTCTGGCAGTTCAGTTTAACACTACTTTGAGTCCCGACTATGAGTAAACGATTATGATTATTCTATCAGGATTTCAAGAACGGGCGGGTCTATGTCTAAGTTATAACCCGTCGACACCACACGTCGTTATCGACGATCAAGTGCCGTTCGACATCTCCCAAAGGGACTACACAAGCAAGTCTCAGCGGACTACAACAACAACAATATTATTCTATCAATTAAATTAAATATATACTTATAAATCTGAACTCAATCACGAAAAAAACATATTAAATAACATAAAAATATTTTCAAAACCTCATCCCCAAAAATGTTTTTGAAATCTGGTCAGAAAACTATTCTAATTTGATTATTATCTCTTTATATAGTATAGCACAAGACCGCAAGACTATCTTTAAAATATGCTGCACTGGATGCTAAGGTAAAGATGTCGTTTAATGTCCAGTGACAACATACAAATTCAACCACACTAGTTTTTTTTCTTGGTTTGGCAGGGACTTCAATATATTTTGAGAACAATCAATAATATTGGGTTAATGACCGCCATTTGTTATGTGACAAACTAAACAAAGGATTGTCTTCCTTTATTTATAATCAATCTTTATTTATAATATTTATCTATTGAATATTAATTATGTAGTTTTACTTATTTAATACTCGAAATGCAGATTATGCCTCGAAGATGAGGAAACGACCATGCACCTTCTTTGTGACTGTCCAGCTTTAATAACGCACAGAAGAAACCTGTTTCATAAAGAATTTCTGTCACCAGAGCAGATTAAGAACTCTTCTTTAGATTTAGTTCTAGACTTTATTCACAAAGCTCTAATGGGCTTTGTTTAATCAATAGTGAAACTGGTACTATAGGTCTCTTCTGGCCGCAGTACCGGCTGTCGGGCAATTTTCACGTCTACTCTTTTATTTTTATTATTATTATTATTTATTTAATAACGTTAAACTAATGACCCATGAAAAATTGAAGGAACCTTACCTCTACTAGATTTGAAAGAAATGTTACTTTACGATTTTTTTTCAGTCGCATCGCGTAATTGCCACTTTTAATATTATTTGAATTTGTGAATAATAAATTGGAATTAAGACTGAGGATCTCGTTAATATGTTTATTTGTTTTCACAGGGAACGTTGTTGATGGAGATGTGATTGGTATCATAAATTTTGTAGAAGGCAGGTCTGCTTTATAAATTCCAAGTTCCATATTGCGCGTACATCTACAAAAAAAAAAGAAAAAAAAAGCATATGTTAGGAATACATTAGTGAAGAAACTTAATCCTATAATTATTATAAATTGAAATTACATAAGGTGTCATTATAATCAATCATTATTGGTTTACCATTGTTTTTATTTATTATTGTTTTATTTTACTTTTATCTAAATCATAACAACTATTTATAGTATGGAATCACTTTTATTTTCTATATATTGTAATATATTCTTATATTTATATATTCATATATTTGGTAAAGAAATTTCGAAAATTAATTATTTCAATTAATAAAATTTTTGGCGGACCACACAGCTGTTTTGAGTATTGCAAAATATCCATCATTAGTGGTCTTGGAGTTATTTCTTGTATTTAATTATTTGTAAATAATTTTTTTAGCTTGCAAGTATCAAGGGTGCAACTCGTATCCTGCTAAATTTAAAGCTCAGAGTCAGCGTTCAGTAGCCAACTGACCCAAAGTCGTACTTGACTTATATGTTCACACTTTGAAGTTTTGTTAATTTGCTGTGAAAGTTCATTAACAAATTCACTAGCTGTGTTTATATTAGAACGAAATCATTAACCAGCTGTAGATTTATTTAATACATTTATTTTTAATTGTTAAATTTCAATTTCAAGTTATTAACAATTCACTAATAAAATGTAGAGAACACATTAGAACTACAATTTTATATTGGTATATTAGAATAAAATCTGATCAGATAAATTTTGACAATCACGTTTAGGTGAAATATTCTTGCTTAAATACCAATGTTGTTAATTTATATATACTAGTATTGAATGCGACATTTATGAAAATGATTGGCTGAAAAGATTACATCTGAATTTTAAATTGAAGACCAATTTCAATTGGTAGACCATTTGAATTCGAATTAAGTTCGAAATCGAACATACAGACTCACATAAATTAGCTACTATGCTGAATCTTGCCCATATGATAGCACCATAGATCAATACCGATCTGAAGATTCGAAGCCGAAAATACAGACTCACAAAAACCAGTTACTATACTGAATCTTGCGCATTTGGTAGCCCCATAGAAAACTCAATACCGATTTGTGGATTCGAATTAGTTACATTACAGTTACTGAAGGAATACAAAAACGCATATGAATTAAACACACTATCAAAAGACAGAATAATATCATACAACAACCATTGTTATGGAACGGCCATATTCTTAGACGGCAGAGGAAGAATATTGCACGACAGGCAATGTGATGGAACTTCGACACATCAGTCAGGACATCGTTGCCTACTTCCATAAGAACGTCAAACATTAAGAGATAACGTAAGATCATCATGGGTCTTTCTAATTAACACTAGTACCTAGTACTGACATAGCGGTACTGTCAAAATTAATACAAATCATTATTTCCAACAAATATGTATTGTAGTTTTAAATGAGCAAATAAAGAACAAAATAATTTGTAAAATATTAGGTTGAAGTGTTTTTGTTGTCACGTCTAATGACTGCACTTAGTATAAAATAAAAAATTTATTTAATTATTGCAAAAATTACACATATGGGACAACGAATAATTCATCATATTAATAATTTTCACAAACACATATGTGCGATATTATATATGTATATATGTTTTAGATAACAATATTCAGAACGTATTTATAGCAGAATTAATTGGATTTTACCAAAAATACCAATGTTTAGATATCGTTTATTTTCATTAATTTTAAAAAATTATATTAAAATTATGTGTATATATTTTACATATATTTACAATATATAATATCAGTGAATTTTAAAATTAGCCAAAACAAAAAATTATATTGTATATATATTTTGTTTACACTTGTGTGTATATCTGCTCTAATATTTATTTTATTTACTTAGGGTTGTACCTGAAGTGCGTGACTATTTCTTTCGAAGCGGTAGTTGATCGTATAGTTGTAGTTGTTTTTGATGTTAAATATTTATTCCAATTCGAAATAACAATTTTTGTAAAATAACATTATTTTGTATAATTATGAAACATGTATAAACGTTAAGCGGGATAATTATGATATGACTTCATTCTAATATTTTTTAATAAGAAACTTATTTTTATATCACAGTACACATATACACACACACATAGATTTTTAAAATTTGTAAGGGATTTTATTACGTACAGCCATGTCACATACAATATACATAAAGAAGTACGTTTCTCATATACATATAAACGTTTTAACTTAATTCCGAAAACTGTTAATGTTTTTATTTTCACTAATAATAAAAAAATTGCACGAGTTAGTCTATTGCGGTAACAACTTTAGGCTATAAGATACATACGCAAACTTCCGATCTCAATCGCACACTACCAACGCGACAAACAAAATTAAATAAAATCGTACAACTGCGAGAGAAAACAAAACCTTCTCATAGCCAGAGTAACCACGTAAAGAATTTAAACATTCGAACTCAATGCTTTTGCCCACTATGTGCATTACTTTTAAAAATATTCGTTATGGAAGCGATTAGTTTCACTGATTGTTTTCCAAAAAGTGATCAGTTCTACCAGTAGTAAATATTTCCGTTATCAGCACGCATTATGTACTTTGTGTTATACGAGTAATGTTCTCATATTATTGTGTTATTATAAACATTAAATGCAACAGGCAGATTCAGATCAGAAATAAAGTTGCCACTTATTAATTTTTATTATTAAATGGAAAAACTTATAAATTGGCTGAAGTCTGAAGTGCTTCATGTTTTAATACTCAAAAACAGTTTATCATCATCTACGGTATATTAAGAATAAATATATTGTAGGAAATTGTATGTATTTGATGTCTATAAATACATACTTTAATATTTTTTTTCCACAAAAAATAATAGCATAGAATTTATATAATATAATATCTCTTTAGAATGAAACACTGATAAATTTTATCGTGATAAATAGCTTTAGTTTAAAATTTTGCAAAGTACCATGATACATTAGAACGAATGACATCCTCAGGGACCTCAAGATTGATCCCATCAAAAAATATATAAAGGATAGAGCCCTGAAATTATTTACTAAAACTGACAGACTTACCAACACCGCGTTATCAAATTTCAGAATGGTTACAGGTTCCCCGGGAAGGTATGCAGATCTGAGGTCAATTATTGCTTAGTCTGATGAAGTTATAAACAATAATCCAGTCAAAGCGTAAAGAGGGGTTTTGAAAATACCTCGAGTTAAGAAAGAGTAAAAGTGCTCAAGTCACTAACTCAAATAGCTTCAACATAATTAAATTAAAATCGATAAATAAAGTTATTTTACTGAAAATTAATTGAAATTGAAAAACAAAAATTTCAATTACAAAACTATAAGTTTTGTTATAAATACTAAACAATTGCTAAATGCAACAACATATATAATTTGTTCTTTATTACGTTATGATCTGTAGTGAAACTTAATCTTAAAACTTTTTCATCTCCACCGTTTACATTATACATTGGAGATTAATTTTGACATTACTATTTTTATGTTTTGTTTCGTGTGTTTGATAAATTTTTGTGAATAAAACATTTAATTAAAATTTTATACAAAAAAATTAAAATATAAATTTAATAAATGGTTTCATAACAATAATTTAACAAATTCTAATTATAATTATGTACAAAACTATTATTAAACAAATTTATTAAAAATTTACTCAATTCGACATTTTTAGATTTTCATTGTTTGTTTTGAATAGGTTTTGACTTTTCTCTTTAAATTCTTCTAAGATCGTAAAAAAATCTACGATATTAAGACATTTGCAGAGTTGTACAGAGAAATAATCACAATTTTGAAAGAGATTTGAAATTAATCTCGATCAAAAGAAGATTAATTTTTTATGGGAAATCTGAGATTAAACAACGAGGTTAGTACTTTAATCTCGATTTTTACTTTAATCTACTTTTAATCGCAAAATGTAAACGCGGAAAATTAGTATATTCAAATTATATTTAGCAGAAAGTAGTACAACTTTATTTATATATTTTTTAAAATTGGGATTACATCGACATTGTAATAAGTTGGTGTGATCTTGCATATATTCAGTTCATGTCGTTATAACTTTATATAAGCCTTATTTAAAATAACATTTATTATGTATGAACACTCTTTGTATTTTTATTTGTAATAAATTAATTAAAACATATAATAATAAAATAAAATACTTTGGAATTAGAGGCACTTAACTTAAAACACATTAATTAATAACAACAATTTTTTTTAATAATTAAATTTATTCACCAACGATTAAAGTTTAATCTGCATTATTTATTGCAATTAAGGTGTTATAATCCAACAATTGCCGAAAATTGTTGAAAATTTATTTCAATACTTAATTTATATAACAGTGTAATTCGGTACTTTTTGCCTTAAATCAGTTGATTTGTTTATAATGAGCTCATTTATATAAAAGCATTTTGTATTGCAAATTAGCCTCATTAGTGATATGGTATAATATAATTAGTTTTTGAACAGAAATGGAACAATTCATCGCCTTGTTGCACGAAATAAAGGAGCCAATTTCAGACACCTGTACAGGGTGCGCAAGGAACTAAGGCAGTTTCAGCAGCATTAAAAGTAATTAAGGTAGTTTAAGCAGGATTAAAAAGTTAACGTCATCGTGGTACTCACATGTGTGCTTTCCGGTAATAAACTGTACTGAATTTGAAAATGTGTTTGTAATGACCTGTGAAAGCAAGGAAATGCACAAGAAAGTGCTTAGTTTTATAATCAATAGAAACTTAATCAAAACAAAAAATGTATGATTTGCTTTATGAACATTTAAAACATAATTCAAGTAAAACTGTTATTACGTCTGTTGTGTGAATATACTATCACATTTTATTTCATAAAATGGTATTCGACATATTTAATCGAAGTTGTATCATGATATACGCATAACGCAATAACACAGGGATGTGACATACTGCATATTTGAAACTTAAAATTACCAAAAATTATAAAAACAGTGGTAATGAATTTATAATCCAAATAAACTCTTATTAAATTGTCAATTTAGAATTTGAATTTTAAATCATTAATTTCTTCATATACATTTTAATGCACTGTATACAATAAAAAAAATCAAAACAATTTTATATTTTTAAACTTATTTTTGCAATATTTGCAAACGCTTTTAATAAAAGAACCGCAACCAACTTAACAACCATTCTGACATTTGAACTTGACAGAATCGAGTTTTGCCAAAAATTTTGGATTTCTTATTCCACATCGCAAGTGCTTAATTTGAATTGAAATAAAGGCAAGTACATAAATAAATTAAAACTTACTGTCTCTAGAGAAAGAAATAATATTAATTAGTGAAGTATATTATTTTTCATATAAAAATGTTACATAACCTAATGAGGTTATCATTTCATGTCTAACCATAGATGCTATCCCAATCTATTCTATCTGGAGCTCGTATACTGCGAACGGAAGCGAAACGCAGTATAGGTATTATGGCACCCGCTCTCAACAAAGTCTCTGATCCTATACAGCAATTGTTTTTAGACAAAGTGCGTGAATACAAACAAAAAAGCGCGTAAGTAAAAGTTGAAGTATTATTAATACTTAAATTTAACTGTTTGCCATTTTAGAGGCGGAAAAATGGTTGATCCCAATCCAGAAATTGAACGCGAACTAAAGAACGAATTGGAACGCGTTGCCAAACAGTATGGCAGTGATGGCAAAACAGACATGACTAAGTTCCCAGAATTTAAATTTCCGGAAGTTAAACTTGATCCCATTAACCAATCCGTTTAAGTATAAAATGAGCTCTATCTTACCCCATTTAAACAACGTTAGCGTAATATTAATAGCTTGTGGATGAGTAAAACGTTCTAAATAAAATTAAGCGTTTAATGGAGTAAATACTATATCTTTTATTTTTTATGGCATATTATTAATAATTGCATTTCGTATAGAGCAGTTGTTCTACAGCATCAGTTAACAATTCCATTTTGTGATCGCTTGCAACTTTATGAAATATGTGTAATAATGACATAATATCTTGCTCATTTATTAAGGGAGCGAAATCCGCAGCACATGGACAATATTTTGTTAAATTCACAAGTTTTATTTCTTTGCACCGAGTACAACGCAAGTCTTGCAATATGTATGACATTACTTTACGTTGTAAGACATCAATTATTCGGATTTCAATATCCTCATTGTCGTAAGCAATTAAACATTGTGCACAAAGCCAAACAGGTCTGAAAAGAATAGAAAAAAAAGAATAGAACGAAAATTAACTATAATACTGACTTACATTCCATTCTTTATTGCACGATGTTTATCTTTACATAAGTCAAGATCTCTGCATTGATTACAAGCTTTACAAATTACTTCTGATATACTGTAACTATCATGAGAATCACTCCATTCAGCAAGATCAGAAAATTCTCCAACTCCAACCAAACGCAGCATGTTTCGCCTCAATTCATTTATATCTTCACTTAGTGATTTCTCAACACTTAGAACTTTGATAATTGTCCGTATTAAGTCTAAACCTGGACTGGGCTTTCCTTTGCCGTAATTTTTGTGTAACTTTGTTATAAAATCAAAGCAGTAATGAGATATATCCGTAAGAGCAGTTTTTATGTTTTTTTGCTCAGCGAGCGACTGCATAAATAAAGTTAATATTGTTTCAAATTTACCGCGGCAGTCTTGCTCAAGAGGCAAATGTTCAGCAATTGTCCAATTCAATTCCAAAGAAACTTCAACGTCTTGATTAGCATCAGATCCACTTTCCACAATCTCACATTCTGAATTCTCTTCTAATGCTCTTGAAGAACTATTTAAGCTAGTTTCATCGCTACCTTTGGGTAAAACTCCTCTGATACCTGAATAATTAGTCTGATCTAACCATAGCATAAAATCCCAGCATTGTTCAAAAGAAAGTTGTATTGAATGAAATATTTCTTTGTTGCGAAGACTGTGCACAACGTAATCAACGTAGCCTAAAGCATCTGTAACCGTTTTTTTACTAGAACTGAGTACAATTTTGTTGAAGTCCGCATATATAATTGTCGAACCAAGTCTTTTAAACTCTGCTATAATATTCAAAAATAGTTTGCGCATTAAATTATTTAGCGACCTGCGCAATGCTGGATCATACAGAAGAGAGTTACTTGATCGTATCCAACGGTAAAAGTGAATGATTTGAAAATCCGAATACACGTTTTTGTTAATGGAAACTTCACGTAACCAGCTATTTACCATTAAGCGCATTATTCGAAAAGCTCCCGTACATAAGGCGGTTTCATCATAACTTGGTAACGTCAGAACTGGAATCGCGCCAATCATTTCCTCCAATGAAGCTTGTGGTATAACATCAAATGTAACCGCTGAGTGTGCACCTTCCAATTCCTGAATTTTATTTGATTGTAGGAGAGCGCTAACAGCTAAACTATCTAAAGTTAACTCAACACAAATATCCGGATAAAAACCAGGATGATTTTGGGCAACAGATATGTTATCTTCGAATTCGGCCAGTAAACGGCTATCATCTGCTTCCCTGCCTCCTAAATCAGGTCTTGTTGTTTCTGACCACCAAAGCACAAAATTATGTTGTTTGAGTAATCGCGCAAAAAATAAATCAGCACCAAATAAGACGATATCGGGCGGCATATTACCAATTGGTACACTAAAATATCGGCACTGCTGTAACATTAAATCAATTACATTGTTTAAATTAAGGAAATGTCTTATTGAAGCCCTTGTACCTTGCCGTTGCCAATCTAACCCTGATAGTAACGAAGCATCGTCAGAAATATGAATTGGAACTAACGGATACTCTTGAAGGATAGGCATAGCCGAGTACAATGTTCTTGCTTCCTGCGATGTTTGCATACAAAGTATTGTAGGCCCGCGTCTTTCCTCTTTATAAGAAGATAATGCTCGCTGCAAATGACGATATACTTGCTTCAAGTCAACTTCAATTAAAATTTCAAAAGTTAGATCTTCCGGTGGAATTTTTTCAATTTCAGCTTGGTTTTTGACATTTTTAATTAGCACCAAACGTTCGGCGGCATAAAGATTTTTTAAATTAGGCATTTGATTAGTACGTACTGAATCTAAGGCAATGACTAATACTTTTTTACTTGCCATTAGAAATAACGCCCAAATTTCCTTCTTTCCATTGGGTATACTATGTTGATATAAAAATATTGTACGTAATTTAGAATTAGACGATTGCAGATATTTAGTTTGAGAGTGTGAACTGAATTCTAATTGTTCAATTGAGAAGCTATCCATTTCCCTTGAAGCAGCCAAATGTTTAGCTGCATCTTTCTGCACACCACAAACACAACCTAAATCCATTAAAGCTCTAAATTCGAGCGTCATTTGAGTTTCGTAAATTCCTTCTATATCTGGTGTTGCTAAATCTGCTAGCATGCCTAAGCAATTATCTTTAAATACTTTCTCCGGAACACTATATCTGTAAAGATTATATACTTGACGTGATCTTGGTAGAACTCGATTAACTTTTTTCCACATTTGACCGGACTGTGGTGGTGCTAAACTACGTTGATTAACATAAAATATTCGTGGAACGGTTAGTTTAATACGATGGAGTTCTTCCCCAACCATTGCCCAGACATTAAAGTTTCCCAAATCATCAATGGGCAGAATTTGAATTATTTGCCAAACATGGTCGATCAAAGATCGCTGCGCACGGAGTAGAAATCCGCCAAGAGTTGCTGTCGATATTGAGGCGTTATTATTAATATTATTCTTATTGTTGTTGTTGCGGGGTCGCTTTGTTATCTGTGTATGTAGTTCACGTTGTTCTAGCTGCCATTTCCATTTCTTTTTTTGGAAACGAACCCATGCTATAATTTCTTCACGTGTATTTCCAATTTGAGGTGGTTGACCTAAAGCTTGTCGCCACGTCGTAGCTTTTTTTGTATTGTCTTCTCTTTCCAAATCTAAATCTGAAGATAACCTTTTTCTTTTTCTTACTATTGGTACATTATTTGTCACTGTTGCTGTTTGAACCAGATCTTCTATATCGCTTATGTTAAAATCTTTACCATCATTTGTGGTTTCGTTATCTTTCTTAGGAGAGGTTGTTTTGGGTTTTGGCAAAAACATTTCATTTATGCGACGTTGCTTAAACGTGTCATTTTTTTCAAGCATTCTTTTATGTAACCAATCTGGATGAGTTACTCTAGGTACTGGATTCGCCAAACCTTGTAAAGCAGCTGGTATAGTTATAATTTTTTGTATAGTACCACCGAGTCGTTCAATATAATAGTTCCAGTCTAAAACGTCTCTAATGTCTGCATCACCTACAGATGCATCTTTAAGCCATCGTCGCAACTGGTAACGCTTTACACTGGGTTCAGATTGAAAAATTGCTAAAGGGATCGCACGTTCAGTCACAGGTGCCCCTTCTGGTTTTTTTGATATTATATATTTACATGCCAATCCAGCATCTTTAACCATCTGGTCACCAAGAAACTCAGCTAAACGTTTTGCTGTTGTAATTGAGGTACTCTTTTGTCCTCCATATTCTTCAAGTTTTTTAGACATAGATTTATTTTCAGAAATCAACTCAAATAATTCTGAATCTGGTAAATGTGTACCGCGACTATACAGTACATCAAGCCAATAATCAGCAACCTTCGCAACTGATGCATAACATTCCTCCAAAGTACTACCGGCCAAAAACGCTTCAAACACTGAGCTTTGAAAATTTTTAATTAACTGTAATTCCCCACGTCTTTTAACTTCAAAACCCTTTAGTTCAGCTAATGACCCATCAAAATTAAAAACTGCGTAACGTTTCTTTAATTTTTTGCCTTCTTCTTTTGCTGCTGGAAGAACCATAGCCAAATAGGGTCCATCGACCTCAAAGAATATTGAATTCTCCTCTCTTATCTTATACTGCGGCAATGTCGAGTTAGTTGTTTTTTCTAGTTCATGATATTGGTCGTTTGTGAAATGATCTTTTACCATTGTGTTAAGAACTGCATTTGGGTAAGATATATTAATTTTTTTCTTTTTTTCATGCGTAGTATGTAGAGTAAACTCTTGTGGGAAAGAACCAGGAAGAATACACCAAATACCATCTGTATCGAGTTCAAGTGGTCGTCCAACGCGTTCAATTATTTCCTTAGCTTTTGTAATAATGTTCGAACCTGTAAGACAAACGATGCCAGCCATAGGCATTGAATGCCAACGTGCACCACGTCGCATCACATAGCCATAAAATGAATTCAAAATGCATTTATGAGCAAGCTGCAGAGAATCATAGAGAACTTCGCGTCCTTTTGCTGCCTTTATTTCCGAAGCATCTCCTGAAGATATGGCGGCATTGACCGCTGCTTTAGCAACCTTTGTTAGTCCTTTGTATTCATAACGCCTATCACGAAAGGCCCGAACGGTGTCAACGTAAAAGCTATTTTCCTTTTGGCAGATTGTCGAGGTGCGCGTCTCAAGTTTTGTAATTTTAGTTTTTTTATATGCTTTACGACAGTAATCGGAGAGGCGTTTTTTCTCATATGCTGCTTGATCTTCTCTCGATAATTCATGAAAAGCACGGGTGGGACCACCAGCAAATAATGGTGGAAACTTTTCATTTTCTAATTGTTGCTGGATACGTTGATATTCGCTGCGAGAAGCTGGTAACATTTCACCACGCCATAGCCAGTCCATTGATCTTTTGCATCTAGCATCGGGTTTATTAAAATCACATGCAGCGCAGTCTCTTTCATCAACCATTGCTGATGGTTGCAAACGATTCGTTAATATAATATTAGGATACATAGCACCAACATCTAAATGATATATGACAGGCTGTTCGAATCTATTGGGTATGTCGTGTAGACCTTTAAATATATGAATAAAATGAATTAAAATGAAAAATAAAAAGATATATAAGCATTAAATTTTTACATTGTAAAGCCTGCTGTATCTCCTTTTGTATATCATCCAAATTTGTCACTTTATCTATTGGAATACCTTCTTCAATTTCAATTGCATGTTTTAACACTTTATTTATATCTAATATCAATTGTTTTATCATGTTTGGATCTAATCGAAAACGACAAGGTATATCGGCTCGAAATACACCGGATTCTAATGCTTCTACGTGACCACCAACATAAGTTTCGGAATCTAACACATGTCCTTCAGATGAAAGCTTATTTAATTCGCTTTGCTGTTTATTGGGGTACACAATATTTGCGTGATATGCCTGCACCATTAATAATGTTTCACAAAGTGTCCCTGAACCCTTACGAAGTATTTCATCGGGTTCCATTGGTATAATTGTATTTAATGCAAATACAAAAGGATGAACATACTTCATGTATAAATAATAAGTCGCAACGGCATCTGAAACTGAGTAATTTGATAACACTTGTGGCTGCTCCACAGCCATGTTGCACATTTCTTCAGGATCAAGTTCAACTGGATCATAACGTAACTTAGCTTTTGCTACAGCTTTCAGGCCATGAGATCCCACTGGTAAATAAGAATCTCTTTTCACCTACACATAAATAAAAACAATTATTAGGATATTCAACATATAAATAATCACAATTTGTAGATGAATAACACTTACCCAACACAAACAGTCCATGTGTATTGCAGGACGACTCAAGTAATTTCCATCTCTAGATTTGGAAAAACCTATCTCCTGATTCATATCCATGTCGTACACTGCTGCTCTAGTTTCTATAAAAGGCCAATCGAAGAAATCTCCGTTGTATGTAACAAATATGTGTGGACGAACCTCCATTATATGATCGAAAAATTTTTGAATTAATTGCATTTCGTTGGCTTCATTGTAAACAACAAAATTTCCTTCAAATTCAGGTTTTGGTGTATATTCGAAATCAGCTACATCTGTTGAGATGATTTCACGATTTGTTATTAAATAACCTTGCCCATCTATCATATAGGAAATCATCATAATTTGATCATGCTGAGCATCTGGAAATTTTAATGGTAATTTTGTTGTTTCAATATCAAATGCAAGGACCACAGGCTCGGGTCGTTCCAATAAATCTGGTCTTGGTGTGATAATAGGCATGTCTTTTCCACCATTGGTACATCGTATATTATAAAATAGTCCACAAAAAATGTTCATATCAATTGAAACTCTCACATGATAAGGTACATCGTGTTCACGTATATCTACTATATAATTCATATAGTCTAATTGTTTTTTTGATTCGTTTGAATTTCCTTTATTAGCACCAGTCAATGAAGATGCTAGCATTTGCATATAATACGTATTCGACTTTTCTCTTTCTATATTTTTTCGAACTGCAGACATAAGTTCGCGTCGAACTTTAGTCATTGCTGTTTGGTTTAGAAATGAAAGTTTTAAATAGTCTTGTTTTAATCCGCTTAAATGATTAGGTAAATCCAAATCTTCCTTAACCAGTTGTTCTACATTAGACAATTGACCAGAATACTTTCTATTTAAGAAGCGTGCAACCTCCAATGACTGATTTTCACTACAACGGATCAAAAGATATGGTTGAAATACTACTGTACATTTAAATCGTGATCCGTCCATTTGGATAAAAAATAAATCCAATGCAGCCACTAAACGTCGTTCTTCATCTAGCACTTCCGTCTAGAAATATAAAGATTCAATAAGAATACATATGTGTAATCGAAATTATTTACAGAGTGCATGTTGATAAGGTAACCGACACGTTCCGTGCTATCTTTAACTCTTTCAAATCCATACTTAGCGTCGATTTTATCATTTTCTCGAGATTGCCTATAGCCAGCTTCATTAAAATACTCATCACTAAAATCAAACATTAAACAGTCATATTTATTTTAATAAATATTAACACATACACATACCTTTCAGTTTTAGATTCTGAATGTAGTTTGCCTGTGTTTTGTAATACCTTTTGACCACTATTTACTTCCATTATAAATACACATTTATATAATAATAACAATTAACTCCTACTAACGTTAAACATTTATTGAAATTTTTGGCGCCATTAAAACAGCTGATTTAATCTCAGCGGAATTAGTATTGAGAGCATATATGCATACACTACTTACATAATACAGCTTGTTGTATATAATTCATCTAATGACGGGAAATTAATTATAGAAATTGAACAGAATATACAACAAAAGTACTCTGATTATACCTTAAATACTTATGTTTATTGAAGAATTGTTTAGTACACTCTCATAGCAAACAAATTTAGATTTGTTTTATATATGTTTTTTGTTTGAAGTTAGGTACACTACGTGTTGATAAAAGTTTCACATCTTGTATTATTAAGTTATAAGCAATACTCATGGTTGGCTGCACTGTAGAACTGAAATAAATTGCCACCACGTCAATCGGCATTTTTTTGATGATCTGATATTTGTGTTTATATTAAGTAAAAAATGGTTAGTTTAATCAACACAGTGGACACAGGACATGAGGATATCATCCATAACGCAGTTCTTGATTACTATGGTTCACATTTAGCTACTTGTTCATCAGATGGTTCTGTTAAAATTTTTGATGTTAAGAATGGAAATCAGGTGCTTGTAGCTGATTTAAAAGGTCATCAAGGACCGGTCTGGCACATTGCTTGGGCACATCCTAAATTTGGAAACATATTAGCTTCTTGCTCTTACGATCGTAAAGTAATTATATGGAAGGAAAATGTTGGTAACTGGACTAAACTGTAAGTGATGTATAAAATTATTTTTAAATTCTTTAAAAAAAAATTTTTTTTTTTTAGCTACGAATACAATAATCATGATTCGTCTGTCAATTCAGTAGCATTTGCTCCAGCTGAACATGGATTAATATTGGCTTGTGGAAGCTCTGATGGTTCTATATCAATATTAACATCCAACATTGAATATGGCGTTTGGGATAGTAAAAAAATTCCGAATGCGCATACTATAGGTTGTAATGCAGTTTCTTGGTGTTCATCGACTGTCCCTGAACCAGCGTTTGATCAGCGCACTGTTGCTCGTAATGTCACTGTGAAACGCTTAGTTAGTGGTGGATGTGATAATTGCGTAAAAATTTGGCGTGAAACTAATGACCGTTGGATAGAGGAGAACCGTTTAGAAGGACACTCAGATTGGGTACGCGATGTGGCGTGCGCGCCATCAATTGGTTTAGCTAGATCTCAAATAGCTTCAGCATCGCAGGATCGTCATGTTATTATATGGAATAGTGCAGATTTGATTACATGGTCTTCTACTATCTTACATACCTTTGACGATGTAGTATGGAGTGTAAGTTGGTCAGTTACAGGAAATATACTTGCTGTTACTGGAGGAGATAATAAAGTAACATTGTGGAAAGAAAATAATGAAAATCAGTGGATATGTCTGAATGATGACGCAACGGTATCGGGTGCACAACAAAGTGAACAAAGAACACTATGAATCAATAATAAAATAAAATTTTTATATAAAAATATTACTTGTCATTATAAAGTTACTAAAAACATATATACATAATACATATTATATAAATATTAAAAAAATAATATACAAATTACATTTTTAATTTTTTGTTATAAAAAATATTTTTTGTAAGGTTTCGAGTTTTTCCGCAAATTCATAAATAAAATAGAACTTTTTGCGTTGGATTTTACAATTTATCGAGAGCGGGTCTTTAGCAGTTAACGGCAATCGAATGACTAAATGAAGGGACTGTAACAGTTGTTATTAAAAAAAGATTAACTAACAAGCCTCATCATTCGTCTTTTAAAATAATATTAAATAATAATTAAATTTGCTTTATATTATATTTTGCAAAAATAATTATTATGTGCTTTTTACTTTTGTTTTTGTTGTTGTGATTTGAGTTAGTGCTATTGCGCACTTTTACTCTTTTGTGGCTGGGGGCTTATCTCTGCCCCACACTAAGCTTTAACTATTCTAGAATACTTTTTACAAATAACATACATTTTACTTTTTATTTTAAAAGATAAAAATAATTATTATTTTTGACTTAAAAACGAAAAACTCAAAAATAACTATTATTCTTCAAACAAAAAAATAAAGCTGCTTGTGTAGAAGTTATTCTTGAAACGCAATAAAACTTGCACGCAGGCTATTTATTTTTAAAAAGAGCAAAATAAAACGCTTTTGTGTTTAATAGTTATTTTTATAATCTCACTCAAAATGTATAAAACATTTGGTACAAATAAACAGATTACAAATCCGATATTGTATTCTTATAAATTTTAAATATTTATATTAATTATATATAAACAAAATTTCTTCAAGTTTTTGATTATTACTGATTATTATTGATGGTCTGTATTTTTTCAAAATTTGAAGTATGGTTCATCATAGAGTAATGAGTCGCTAATGCAGTCTTTTTATCATTGGAAGTTGATCTGCTCTTTTTGTCTTGTTTATGATCAGCGATTGTCGTTCTAAGCAGGATGTCAATTAGAATTCTCTTATTTGCCTTATGAAAAATTGATTGTTGATGTTGAATACATTTCTAATCAAATTCAGAGCTGTGCTCCGAATTATATTATGAGACTGTTAAATTCCGTTTCTCTTAGTTTCTCCTAGTGAGGCATAGCGCATAGTTATTATTATCATACGATATGACAATTGTTACGAATATGTACACCAGGATCTGTACACCATATCATGAAAAATTCTAAAACACATAACTGCTTTATGTCTTTTAAGTTATGATTACTTGACAGAATACCCCAACACAGAACAACATAAAAACACAAACAACACAAGCTTATTCCAATCACCAAATAGGCTAGGTTAGCTTGGAGCGAGTGCACTTAAGCTCAAATAATAGGCAATTGTGGTACCACATGAACACCATTGGTTTCAGACAAGAAAGTCAGCATATGACTAACATCGAAAAAGTCAACGACGTCCCCATTAGATAAGGGTAAAACACTCGGACATTTCTATGAATTTGTCTAACTCTCTAATATTACAGGATGACAACTCGTTCAGGTCGTTAATAAAAAGGATCTAGATGGTTTTTGCTCTTCTCGTAGCTAAGAATTATCACTGACATATAAGATGGACCACAATTTTCTCCTTATCCTCAGAGCCATAGCTATGGCATAAGTCATTATGCGGTAGACCGAGTTTCATAACATTATTATGCAATAACCCGTCAGCACCGAAGCCGTAGTGCTGATCAGGTTCCACCTTAGTTGAAGCAGCTGACTGATACGTTTTTTGTCCAAATTAGATCAATTTAGAAATCTGACAGCAGGATTCGTCAGCCCAACATTGCTTGCCAGTTTAACTACTGTAAGTGGAACGACCTGCTTTGGCACGCTCGTCTGCCCTGTAATTGCCTGAGATGTCCATATGTACAGGAATCGATATTAGTTGAGCCCTGACACGCGAGAGCTAAGTCATTGAGGGAAATTCGGCAGTTTTGAGTTGTAATTGATGTGTGCCTAACAGTGCCTAACAGTTATTTAATGGCAGCTTGGTTGTCTGAGAAGTTTGCAATAGTTTCGTTCAAGGATTTGATTACCAAGGACCTATTTTACTGCATTATAGTAGATTGCCATCACTTCTGCCTGAAAGACACTGTAGTTGTTTGGTAGTCGAAGCGAAAAACTAAGACCCAGTTTTTTAGACAATATGCCACAGTCGATTTTTTCGTCTATTTTGAAGCCGTCTGTGTAAACGTCTACCTTGTTGAGAGAGACTACTTTGTCAAAGGTCCAGTTTTTCCTACTAGGTATTAGAGAGTCAATCCCTGGTTAAGGCACACGTAGTCAATTGAGCGCTGAGTCTAGTTGTCACTATTTCAACGTAAAGCTACAGTAATATCTAAGGCAGCTGTCCCTTAGATCAAGGGACAGCTTGTATTTTTAGTTGTTTGCTACCAGAAGGTCTCCCAGAACCCTATAACAAAGGAATAGAAGATTGCATAATACACATGTACTTCGCCCTTTATGACTGTTGGTTTTGTATACGCACTCAGCACATGCAATACAAATTTTTTGTATATGGTTTACCAATATTTTTTTGTTTAGAAAAATTAAGGTTTTAAGGTTACAAAATTAAATGTTTCAAAAGTATTTTTCGCATATTTTGGATTTGTATTATCTTTTTATAACATTAGCTATATAGAAAGACAAGGTTATCTAAGATAATAAGTTGATTTTACTTAAAAATTTTGTCGAATTAATTTGTTAGTTTTAGCATATTTGTCGCTGTGTATTTTTGTGATACTACACCGTGTATTTATAACAGTGTATTTATTACACACATATACATGTTCACTAAAAACAATCTAAGTACATTTCGTCGAATTCTGCTTTGAATGTTTCTATGCTAAGTTCAAAATACGATTATAATTATTAAATCTATAAAAAAAGAAATGAATGTGTTATCCCATATAAATATGACTCTACTAACTAATAAAGATTTAATGTTAATGTAAGAAGGCTTCGAATAGAAATGAAAAGACAACAACAAAAATTTTAATTAATTTATTGCAGTTTGGCAGACCATACAGTACTGTTTCGAATATTGAACATCGGTAAAGATGTTCATGTGAAAGATTAACTAACTAATAACCTAGGATCATTGTTTAAAGATAAAGAACAGATGAACTGACAGTTACTTGAAACCTAGGATCATTGCTTAAAGATAAAGAACAGATGAACTGACAGTTACTTGAAACCTAGGATCATTGCTTAAAGATAAGGAACAGATGAACTGACAGTTACTTGAAAACAAAAACACAATGTGTGGGCTTTAAGAATTTATAAAGAAAACAAAAAATTTAGAGGGTACCGAATAGCAAAGAAAAAAAGGACAAACTTCTTATTCTTCTTTGTCATTATAAGAAATCGTGGTTTTTCTTGTTATAGTTTTGTTTCTGCTAGTGAGTCTGTATCAATAAGTACTTTGACTCTGTATTCTTTGTAGTGAATTAAATTACAACTAGGGTTGGTTTCGTTAATAGGTTTTCTAATGTTAACTGTTGTAGTTTTTGTTGTTTGTGTTTTAATTTTATTTAATTATTATAGTACTTTTGTAGTATAAAGCTTTGTAGTTCTGCGAATCTGCCCGTTCGTTTTGTGTCTCATTGGGTTTTGAATAAGTCCAGTGATGGGTTTTTGTGATTGTCAATTTTGTCAAACAGCTGTATTGCTTTTCCTCTCATAGGTATACGCTTGTATAGATTCAATCTTCAGATTTTTATGAATATCTTTATTGCGTACTTACCATGGAGCATTTACAATTCGCCTTAGATAGCTTTTTCGGCAAAACTAATTAAACTAAAAAATAAAAAATGCATTTTTTTAAAAGAATTTACAACTTATCTAATGGTTAGTTTGATAATTTTGTTTTTTATAAGTAAATAATTAAAAAACAAATATAAAATAATTATTAATTTTTATAGCAGTTCGGTTTCTTTTATGGGCATTTCAGCCGCTTAAATCACTCTTAGCTATGTGCCTGAAGCCTACAGCTTTATATGAACCTTATGTAAAATATTAGTGTTCTTATCACAAAATTATGATGAAAATATATATTTAAATGTATATAAAAAATATCTACTGTATAAGCTAAGGTCATTAAAAGTTTTCAAAGCCGAGTAACAATGTAATTAATAAAAAAATCTACATTATTTATTAATTTTCTAATTTTATTGTTCGCTTTTATTGATTAGAGTTCTGAGACTAGAAATGAATTCTATTATACATTTGATTATGTACTCGTGTCGAGTTTATAGGAAATTTATACACAACAACTTTCATTTTTAATACAAGCTCCTTTCACTTATATTACTACAGGCATCAAACTCTAGTAAATATATTTGCAACTCCTTGTAACAGCAATAACAACGGCTCCCTACTAGGTACATATATGTTTGTATATGCATATATATGCAAATATTTGATACTACTTTCGGTAGAAGTATGTTTGTTTTGATTTTGAAGAGTTGAGAAAAAAAGTTGAACAAAGTTGAAAAAAGTTATATACTGCAAGAAAATTCCTTATAAACTTTAGTTGTAATTAATATATAATATAAACTTTTGCCGTCTTTGCCCATGTAATTGTTTTTTATGTTTACAATAACATGTAATTTTTTCTTAATGATTGTTTAGTGTTGGTACTAGCTCCACTGCACAAGCCAATTGCTATTTATATATTTAGCACTGTCAAGTTGGAGTAGACATATTTCATACATATTTGCTAGGCGTACGTCTATTGCTAGTACATACATATATTAAGCATGAACCGAAACTTAAATGTAGGCTTTACGTTTTCTTTGCATGCAATGCTTAAATTTATAAGTACATTTATTCAAGAAATGTTTTGCCTTCGTCATCGATTTAGAAATATGACCTCGTCCTCGCGCAGAAAGAAAATCACGATACCGTTCCATTAACTGCTGCGAAGTTATTCTCTTTCTTAAATTCGTTGGCTGTGCTTACAATTGTTGCCGTGAACGAAGGGAAAAGGTTTTAACCTTTTGTAACGAGCTTAAATATTCGTTAACCCTGTTCATCACTACGATTTATAGTGTGTTCTGAAAGACCAAGGAAACTTTAACGCGAGGTGCAAAAAATTGAGAACTGTTACTCATGAAAACCAAATTTAAAGATTTTTCTAGTTGAAATATATTCACTTGTATTTGGAGCGTGAAAGTTAACGGACGATCAAATTTATTCTTAAGCGATAACATCAGGAAAATTAGGAAAATATTGCTGAAAAAAAAAAAATAATTTAAATTAATATAATATTTTTTCAACTCAGAAATCAAACAGTTTCGCATAATTTTAATATAAATTAAAATTATTTTTACTAAGAAAAAAATTAAAAACTCGCACATGAATTTTTTTTCACATTAAAAATTGTTTAAATTTTGTTTTAAACAGTGTTTCAATCGATATATAAATAAAAAAAAAATATAAATATGCAACCATTAAAGCGCTTCACCCAGTGCGGCAGCTTAACTATGCTGTTTTGTGTTTTTTTAATACTTTTTGGAGTGAGTTCTACTGCTTTAACTACCTTTGGGAAGACTAATAACAGTCCAGCACCGACTCCCGGACCAATTGGTAAGTATAGTCTCTGTTCACAAATAACTACAAACCCTAAGCAGTTTTGCTACTATTTTTAAACAGAATTTTAAATCAGTGTTCAATTGTTTATTAATTTCATTAGTATTAAACTATATAAAATTTTTTGAATTTATTTATCGACCTGTTTTTTAGAATGGTTTTTATATATTTTTTAGTCCAGCTATCGTTCAATTTTTTTTAAATACTTCAACGTTTAAGGATAGTCGAAATATAGAATATAATAAAAAAATATTTAACAAAAAGGGACCTATAGCCGAATTAAAATATATATAAAAATAATAATAATTTATTTATTTATCAATTTAATGGACATTAAATTATTTATTGATTCAATTTGATTTTTAAAGTCACTTATGACGAAAGAAACTATTTTTTGTATAGAAACTATTGTTTTATAATAGATTTAACATATAATAGAGAAATTTAGTAGTCCAGTTCCAGTTCAATTCTTAGTTAACTTTAAAATTAATTTTAGTGTTAACTCATAATATTCTTAATATTATTTGATTAAAATGAATATTAAATTATTTATTAATTAAAATTAAAACTAAATTATTTATTTATTCCATTTAATATAAAATCTATAAAAAAATGGCTACCTTTTATGGAAGAAATATTATTTTATCTATCATAGGAAAACCATTACGGTATACCTAAACTATCGTAATATACCATTATTCTTTTAAAATCCGTACAGAACCTATTCTTTTAAAATCCGTGTAGTGCAGAACCCTATAAACTTTATCTAATTCAGACTTAATTTGCCAATAGCAAATTACTCTACTTTTTAGTTTTTTAATATAAATATTTAATCACTGCAGTATATATGTTAGCTCTCGTTTTCGAAAAAAATTTAACTCCAATATTCAATACAAATATTATACCCATTCATCTCTTATCATCTCTTTCATCTCTCTGTTATGTTTTACGACAGTTATGGCATATGGTTAACTGGTATTGGTTCATTAATTTGTTAATTAATTTTCAAATATTGTTTTTTAATGGACCGATAAGGTTAGCTTGATCCATCTCATTAAAATGTTTAAGAACTTTAATTTCCTTCGTTATAGTGTTTCAATTATCTGCTTCACTGCGTTACAAATATCTTAACAGATTTAATATATAATTTTATATTAAATGTTTAAATAGTTAAAGATATACAAATCGTTAATTAACAATATGGAAAAAGTAGTCGCTTTTAAGATAGGAAAAAATATAAATTATATATATTTTAAACAAAAACGTTTTTCATTTTATAGACTAACAAACATTATCCACCTGACTACTATCAGTTCTCAATTTTAGTAGTCAAATATATAGAGTCAAATAGAGTATCAAATATATACCCATATATATGTATATATATATATATATATATTATTTATTTACAATCTAAAATATATTTTTAATTTTAATGCAGTTATAATGCTTAATATTGCTTTAGAAAATAAATGAAAGTGATATATTATGTATATGTAGTAATCCCTTTATATTTTTTTTTGTTTTTGAAACGAATGAAAAAAATAAACTAAGGTTATGAAAAAAGAGAAAATGAAGTGATATAATTACATACATACTCCGAAACTACTTTTATTTTTACTTTAATTTAATTTTCTAAAAAATAAAAAAGTTTTAAAGCAAATAAGGAAATAATGCAAGAGAGTTTAACTTCTCCTTCCTCGAAATTGCTTCTCTCGCATATACTACGTCTTTGCTTACAAATCTAGAAACAGTTTTAGTGTGACTCCATACCTCCATACCATACCATACCATCTCCATTTTATGGAGATATGATTTGCATACCTTGTCCTGTTCGCTTAAGAAAACGAAAGCAGTCGTGGATTTCACCCATACTACTATGCAAATAAAGAACGATTTTATTGAAAAATCTCCAACCAAAAATTCAGTGCTAAGAAATCGGCATACTTTAGTGCTAAATGATAATAGGCAGTGCTGAAAATGAACCAAATGAAAAGGTTAATTACTTCAACACATGCGTTTTACCTCGAACAATTCGGTAGCGAAATATTTGCGTGTCCTTTCTTAATTTTTATTGAACAATTCAGCACTGAACTGAGTTCTGCATAAAAGCAAAGTGACTAAAGCACTTGAATTTCACTTAGATTTATGTATAAAAATCTAATATTTATAATTATTTTGTATTTATTATAAATAATTATATTCTGTTGAATAAAACTATAATCAACTTATACTATCTGAACTAATTAATAATGTTACATTAAACATTGAGATCAGAAAAATTGTTTTCATTTAGAATGGATTCCATTAAATGTCTTAAATTATTGTTGATATAGTATATAAAAAAACATACATAATTTGGGATTAGTAAAAATTATTCAGTGTTTGTTTATTTCAACTATAGAAGCAGGGGTTGCTCAGAGATCCCCACCCTCCCCTACCATCCCCCTCTCTCTACAACATTTATACGTCCGATATCCCAATGTTAGGTCCCTCGACACTCTCAACATAACCAACACATTGCAAGAGCATATAAACTTCATCCTGGATTATTTCCAGAAATGGAAAATAAAAATCAATAATGAAAACACTAAGGCTCTGTTCATTTCGCGTAAGAGAAGACAGAACCTGCTAACAGTAAGAGTTGGAGATATAGTAATAAACTGGAAGGATAGCATTAAATATCTAGGCATCACGGAGACAAACGATTCACATGGCTTAAACATGTTCAACTGAAAAGAATTTGCTGTGCCAAAATTCTTCATCACGTCCAACCACTATTCAAAAATGAAAATCTCAATGTTAAGAATGTTGATGTTGATGTTTAGCGTTTAGCAAGGCCTCAAACACTACTATTTGCAAGCTAGAAATTGCACAAAACCAAGCGCTGAGAAGACTTTTCAAGCTACCATGGTATATTAGGGCGAATGACATCCTCAGGGACCTCAAGATTGATTCGACCAAAAAATGCATAAAGGATAGAGCCCTGAAATTATTTACGAAAACTGACAGGCTTACCAACACCGCGTTATCGAATCTAAGAATTGTTACAGAGTTCTCAGGGAGGTATGCAGATCTGAGGTCAATTATTGCTTAGTCTGATGAAGTGATAAACAATAATCCAGTCAAGGCGTAAAGAGGGGTTATGAAGAAACCTCGAAGTTAATAGAGAGTAAAAGTGCTCAAGTGCACTGACTCAACTAGCCGCAACATTATAACTAAAATTAAAAATATTTTTCTGATTTAAAAAAAAAATATTAATTGTTTTTGTGACTAAAAATTAATTAATATATTTTATATGAGCGCTTCTATTTTCGTAAATAAAATAAATTTTTTATATGCCACTATTATAATCTATTACCTTAACATATTCCATGCCATTTTTTGAATAAATGCTTTATTTCAAAATTCTTAAGTTTCATTTTCAAAGAGTTAGATTTATTTTATGCCAGCGAGGAAGTTTATTCGAGATCAGAATAAACTATAATTCACTGTTAGAATTATACTATGTATTAGAACTTTTGAGTGAAAATCTTTTAATATTTGTCAGCTTAGGGTTTCTTTTTTTAGTACCACTAGAAATTTCAATCAATTACTTGACCATGAGAAAACAAGTACTTATATCAACTTTCATCTTGGTTTGATCAAGACTTTTAAAACACACCATTATATTATGATATTGTTACGTTTATTCTAACGCTTCGTTCGATAACACTGGATCCTGATAAGTGAATAATATTAAACTTGTATTAATTATAACCGTTATTTATCTTCTGAAACACACACAACTTTATTCCTTAAAAAACCAACCACTGTATTCTCCTAAAATTAACCAACTATATTTAAAAACTTATTTACTAAACAAACTGACATAATTCAAAATTATCTCAGTTAACTTAAATCGAATTGTATCTTCGCAACATTGCCCTCCACCTAAACTTGTTCGTCCCGAACAAGTGTCACTATATCTTCATGACAACGCGCCAACCGTTCCAAATGAACTACTTTCATCTTATTCTCATTATTTGTTATGTCCGAAACGAACAAGACATCTCTGACATCAGCATTAAATTCACTACCCGTAGCCAATACGTCATCTGTGGTATCCTCATGAAACAAGACATTTAGATCATTTGTCACGTTCTTATCATCTGTGAGGTTGGCATCAACGTTTAACGGTATATCTTTATAAGACAACTTATTCGCGACCAACAAGTCCTCTGCGGTCTCCGCATCATATTTGATTTCCTGATTAATCCTGAACGGATGCACCAAAGTTCGTGCAAGTACGATATTATCGACTCCGACATTTTCCATGGCTTCTACAATCCAGCATCTGTTCGTCCTTTTATTCGCGTCTAGTGTTCCCCATACAATCGCTTCTGAATTTGCCGGTATTCTCTGTCGTCGATTCAATCGAACCTGTCGCACCCTATCGCAATGCTCACTGCCAGTATTCAATGGACATCCCATTACAGCGCTCCGTAGGATACGTTGTCCTAAGTCCAACGTAATTCCATGGGCAATCATAAAATCTACTTCAAATGGAGTACCCTCAACATATATAACATATGGGGATTCTTGGTCGTCCAAGCAGATGTTAATTTCAACTGATTCAGCTATACCAAAGCCGATTAACACAAAATCATAACTATATAAACCGAAATAGTCTTTCCTCCTTTTCTTTCTTCTCTTTTTTCTGTTTCTTTTTTCCCTATTCATTATTTGAATCAGTCTTCTTCTCCCTCTTATCTTATTTCTTGTTTTCTCTTTTATCCTTCTTTCTTTTCTTCTCTTTCCTCTATTTCTTTTTACCTCCTTTCTTGTCTTCTTTTTTGTCTTTCTTCCTGCCTTCATTTCTGTCTTTTCTTTTGCCTTCCTTCTTGTCTTTCTTCCTGCCACTCCAGTTTCCATTTTCCGTACTTTTGCTGTAAAGCAACACATTATACCGGCAGCCTCGTACGTTAACGCACTGCCAACTGTTTCAGCGTAAGTTAGCTTTGGAAACATTACCACCTGCCGTCTGGTTTCTGGATCACGTATGCCATCAATAAAAACATCAATTTTATTTTCTTTAATGAAGTCACTAGAACTGCCAATATACGCTAAATTGCATAAACGTTCGATATCCGCGGAATATTCCTGAAGACTCTCGCCAACCCGTTCTACTCTTGCCTTCAGTTCTACTCTGCGTAGGGGTGACATAAAATTGCTGCCATACCTACGATTTAATAAGCCAATTAACTCATGGTAATTCCTACGTGCCTTATCAGGAATCTGTTGTAGCACCTCTGCCGCGCTGCCCTTTAATGCCACAATCAGCGCTGCCGTTTTCTCATCTTCACCCCAACGATTTGCAACAGCAGTAGTCTCGAACTGTAACTGGAAAACTTCAAACATCGCGGTTCCACCAAACACCGGTGGTTTTAATTTTACTCCCCCAGTCCGGCGAACACTCGCTAACGAATGACGATTCGACGACAAATCATCCAATCGATTTTCTAACTGGTACACCTCATTAAAGACTTGAATATTCTGGTTTGTTTCATCAACCCTTTTTGACAACTTTTCTTGCGTCTCTGCTGTTATCGAGACAAGTTGCCACAACTCTTGTTTTAAATCTTTGAATTCACAGAAAATCTGCTCTGCGTTTTTCTTAAGCTCAGTGGAAGTCTGCTCTGCATGTTCCTTCATCTGCTGCATCATCTTCATCATAAGCTCCATCATTTCACTATTACCCACCTGTTTAACTTCTCCCCCTACAATTATCTCTTCAGGGAATTCTTCCACTTCCGCATTTATACCGCTCGCCTCTAAAGCCTCACGCAGCCTTACTTGCAACTCCGTCTTAACACCACCTGTGCTAATCCCCAGCTTCTCCAGTTGCCGCTTTAATTGCACTACGGTTAACTGTCCAAGCTTAACCATTTTATTTATCAGGATCCCACTTCTGACACCAATGTTACGTTTATTCTAACGCTTCGTTCGATAACACTGGATCCTGATAAGTGAATAATATTAAACTTGTATTAATTATAACCGTTATTTATCTTCTGAAACACACACAACTTTATTCCTTAAAAAACCAACCACTGTATTCTCCTAAAATTAACCAACTATATTTAAAAACTTATTTACTAAACAAACTGACATAATTCAAAATTATCTCAGTTAACTTAAATCGAATTGTATCTTCGCAACAATATGTTAGAATAGAATAGAAATAAACAGAGTTCCAGCTCCCAACGGAGCGAAGCACTGTGAATATAGTTGATTTTTTGTGCTGCAACAAACCCTAAACGAACAGAAGACATTACGCCTTCCGAAGTCTCGTCTACTTTTAAGTAGAGTCGACTATCCATCTTTTTGGATGGATAAGGTGTAACATAGTCCATAGTGACCCGTTAAATATCCCACCAACAAGTTCAACTCTATTCTGTTGAAGAAAACTACCTTACCATAATTGTACGACAGAACCAGCTCTTTAGCCTGACGGTTACTTGAACTGTAGCGGCAGTAGCGACTTCTCTCGGCTGAAAACCATAGTTGATCTTAAGATTTCGATGTAATAATTATTGTCGTCTTTTTTAAGGATTTAGACTGTTTTGGTGAAATGGCGACCAAGCTAAGAAGCATCTTTTACATTTCCTAACAATTGATTGCGATATAGTATATTCTCTATAAACTGTATTTATGGTATTATTACACACGCTTCTGACGCGTAACTCATAATAAAAAATATAAATATAACAATCCTCAAGTCCACTTCTGGATTCTCAGGAAGATATGCTGATTTAAGATCCGTCATCAACTAAAAGACAAATAAATGATATGATTTCTTAGCCTAGTTAAAGCCTAGTGTGGAATAGTGATAAGCCCCCAACCATTATAGAGTAAAAGTGCGTAATAACACTAACTCAAGAACAGGAAGAAGAAGAAGAAGAAACAATTATTTAATTTGCTTATTCACCAACGGGTGACTCATTTAAATGTCATTCAACTATGTAAATTTGTAAAATCAATACAAGCATTTAGTAAATTTTGGAATCTATAATGTACCTATGTACACAATATACATATTAGGGTAAATACATTTTTTTTTTTGCTTTAATAAGCTTACTGGTTGTACTGTTTTATTCCTTATATAGTACCAGTCGGTTTTGGTACCCTTATATAACAGATATTTCGTCATGTATATTTATGAGGTAAAGCACTTTGCTTTGAGCATGACAGAAGCGACATATTCTATAAGGGACTCTGGTATGACATGATATGGTTATGGTATAGCAGGACATTGTCAGTCGCTGTATATACTATATAAACACAAATACTCGTTATCTATTTTTTATAATATACAAATAAATCTACATAATTAATAACATATATATGAAAATCAATTTAATTTCAAATTATGTGATAGCAGTAAGTATAGATATATACTTATATACCTTTAACCAATTTTAGATTTTTTATATCGTTGCATTTTAAATTGGTAAAGTCAATATCATCCTACTGGTGTGCTTGATACATATGTATCATATTATTCCCTTTAATAAATAAATTAAAAAATTAATTAATAATTCCTTTTTGTATATTAAATTCTCATATAATAACAATTTTTTCTTAAATTTTTTAGTAAAAGGACGAGAATGTGTAACTCATGATGATTGTGTTACGATAGATAAATCAAGTTGCGTTCGAGATCCCAATGACTATAAATTACGATGCCTCTGTGGAGATGATACTGTGCCGAATGGTGGTTATTGTCCGGACGTATCAAAAGGTAATTTTCAGATTTCATGTTCATGTTCAATGAATAAGATTAACTTTCATAACATCGTTATAAATTAAATATGTCAATTATAATAATACTAGATAATGCATCTAAAGGTTTTTCGTGTTTTTTTTTATATAATCTTGATTATCCTATGCATTATTGTTTTCCTTTGCATAACTAAATATTCTAGTACCATCAATTTTATTTAATAAACAGTCCCTCTTAACTTATTAAAGTTTGTAAATGTTATTGGTTCAAGAATTTCTATAAATTTACTGCTTTAAAACGAACGTAATATGTCTTTTCTTTTTGAAATTTACTTTTATTTTGATGCCTAGGGTAAAGAACCTAGTAATCCAGTTCCTTATTCTTAGTGAACTTTAAAATTCTAATTTTAGTGTTAATTTCCAAATAACAATAATGCCAGCTATCCTAGGTCGGTTTTCTGTATCAATAATAAAGATTTTGTGATTTTTAATTTTGTATACTATTATAAATTTTAAGTGTATATGACCAACCAAAGTTACGAAAAACTTCATCCGTGATGATTTATCTTTATGCACAAATATTTTTGTTTGTGTCACATACGTGTAATTCAACATAATGGTGAAGTTGAAAAACATGTGTTACACTTTTTAAAAAAAATAATGAACAGTCAGTCATAAATTACACCTAGACTTGCGTGTTTCACTCGACAAAACAATTTGTTTTTTAATACGAAATAAAACAAAATTTTCTTATGTTTAAACATCGTTCGGAATAAATAACCCATTCTTGTTTCTTTTTTTTGTAGTGAGGGGGAATGCTTTATAAAATGTCAGACCGACCGCCGTCGAAATGGTGTACCCGACTTTCTAACATTTGTATGTGGTATACGGATTAAAACATGCCCTCTTCAACAAGACCTATTTCCCTCGAGACCGCTTTCGCATTACTTCGAGGGAAGTCTCTTTTATGTTGGGATTTCAAGTCATGCTGTTGTGATTTTCAATATGTGTCCAGACCTCCACTTTTTTATCTCATTTTCTTCGTGTGTGCCCTATATATTAGCCTAGTTTCCGATTCTCCTTTCTAGGTCTAATTTCTTCATTTTGAGAACTTATATCACATATGACTCTATCGTTCGCCAATTCTCTGTATTCGCTCTCCAGAGGTGACTTTTTGTCACCGTCCTTGAAGAGAAAACACCAACTTGCGCTGCTAGTGCAACCACTTATTGCACTCAAAGAATGTTTATTTAGCTTTGCAATATATGCAATTTAGGGACTCTACTTAGCTGTTGAAATATCCACGTCCAAACAGGAATTGAGTGAGGTAGTAGTTAACCTCGCCGAAGTCTCTTGCTAGCTAGGTTTTTTTTAGAAAATTTTAGAAACAGAATTGGTACTATTTATAGTAAAATTAAAACTTAAAAATAATAATAATGTGATAATAACAAATAATATTGTCGCATCGTTTTTTCTATTTATTGTTTTGTTTTTGTATATGGAGGGTCTCTAGTGCGAGTCTCTGAATAATACTTTATCTATTATTTTTATATTAGTTATTCGGTTGTATGTTTTGTTGCTTTTATAAATTGGACGAAAGCTGCGGGTGTCTAATGGTCGGTTGTTCCTATATATATTTGATCGCAGTTTATTTCGATTCATTGACCTGTTACATATAATATTTTATTGTAGTTTTGGATCTATTGGCTCTCCTCTTTTAGTGAATATTCTGTTCAGGATTTTTTCTGATTAGTGGGCAACTTTGCTGTTGTTAAGTTTTTTTTCATTCATTTTTGTTTGTTTTTTGTGGTGAGTTCAATTATTTTAGGTTGAGTGTAGTTTTGTTTTTTATAGTTTATGAATCTTAAAAGTTTGTTAGTTATTGTTAATTATAGTTAAATTAGTTAATTATAGTTGTTGTTAAATAAAATATTAAAACCATAAAATAGTCGTTTACCTAAGTTCAAACAGTATTTACAGTTCAACAATATTTAAAATAAAAGCGAATTTTTTTTGCATTTGTATAATTATTTCCACAGTTTTAAATAGTTATAATAAACAAGTTTATTAATTATCGCAATATAATATAAATTATTAATGAATGTTACTCCAGTTTTGGCATTAAAGCATGTCAAAAACTTTTGTATAAGTTGTTTTTAATGTTAATTGTAAGTAATTAATAATGACTCATATACTTAGAACACGCTTTGATCCATTTATTTAAGATAGTTAAATGAAGTTAAATACGTTACCGTGCTTTTTAGTTCTTATAATTTTTGTTTTTTTTTTTTGTGAAATGCATACCTTAATATTGAGATGTACGTGGCTATTTCGTTAATAGAATTCAAACATTTGTTGTACTGAATTTTCGTAATTTGTCGAAATTATACTTGAGTTCCTGAATAACTTTACTAAATACGTGTCCTGGATGTAACCCAACACGCTAATTTTTTATGACTTATAATGCGTTTTTTTCTTTACTTTCGGTTTTCTATTGATAAGTCATAAGGAAATTATACCCCATTCAAGAACCCTGCGCATTTGCGGCAAAAAAAAACGCGCGTGCACACTAAGCGTTTGTAAGATGTATTAAATCAAGTGTTTCTATCGCAAGTGTACACTGAGTCTTGTACGTGATTCACCTGAAAGTTTTCTTTGTGATTTCAGGTGTTTAAAATTTTAATTTTTCATTGAAAGCAACAATAATTGACAGCTAAAATTACAAACATGACAGCTAAAATTACAAACTAAACTTTTGTGTAATTCCAGTATTAAACAACCAAAATAGTAGCAATATATCCAAGAAATCACATTTAAATTCTTGGAGAGATGATATTTTCAATACTAAAATTATTTATGGTTTTCTTTTCTTGTATCTACTATACCAAGTTAGGTAACATCCTGTGCTCGTATATCAAAGAATTATAAAAGTTTTTACTAATGTATACTCGTATCTTTAATACACATTTCTGCGTTAAAAGTAAACAATTAAAAAATAAATATAAACATTTTCATATATACTCAGTGTATATATGCATATATATATATATATATATATGTATAGGTAAGGGCAACTAGTAAAAGTACCGAGTCACTTTAAAGTGAATGTAATATGTAATCTTTTTTAAGCTTACGTTGAGTCCAGAATTCATATAATTAAAATGAAAATTACACAAAATGCACTTATTTTCTACATTCTCTTCAGGATGTATACATAGCAAACTACTTAACATAAAAAAATTTGCAAAAATATTGTACAATATAAAGCTAAATAGTAAAAAGCACAGAAAACATCTGTATATTAACGAATCCTGAAAAAATATCTAAACACTTGCATACACTACATGCATTGTGTATATATGTTATGTGTATTTCACACTTTTCTTATTTATAATTATGCATCAAAAGACCTTATCGCCGACCTGTTCACCTATTCTATGAGTATTTATATGTGCATACGTGCTCAAAAAACAAAAACAAAAGCAAACACTTCAATCAAAATAACAATTCATGCGCACATACGAGTATTATGTCTGTTCCCATACTTTTCAAGTAAATGTCAAGTTGAAAATGAGAAAAAAATCAGCTTTCCAGTTTACCAAAAAATACGGGAATTTTTTTAAATAAAAAATTATTGTATGTATTGAATTATTGCTATATAATAAACATTAGTATTTCATTAGTACAATGAAGATAAAACTATGGAATATAAGCGAAATATTGATGACAATAAAATACTTGTAGTAAAGCTCGAAGAAATTGAAAGCGTAACACTTCATTCACACCAGTTTTGTTTGTAATTGTAGCTGTCAAAAATTTTCATTTTTAATTGAAAGCAATAACAATTGACAGCGAAAATTACAAACATGATAGCTAAAATTACAAACAAAACTCTCGCTTAAATACAGTATAAGGTAAATAGGATGCCAATATTATGCTCTTTAAACAAAATATTATGGAACAGTTTTGCATAAAGTCTGGTGTTAACAACTGTTTTTGGATAAACAAACCATGTAAAAATTGAAATTCAAATTAAAAAATTACAAAGGTTATTAAGTTCTTCATTTATATGTTGTTTATTTCATTGTGCACTTAATTTAATTTAAAATTTATTTTCATTTCATATATAACAACGTACAGTTGTACGTACGTTCAATTCAATTTTAAACCACATCAGCTGATTTATATATCAACACAAATTTTACTAGAAAGAAAATATTCAAGTAAATTCTATATATCGTTCTATTATTTCGACAAGTTTCTTATTTTTAAAATCGTGTTCGTATTAATATTTGTGGACTGTAGACTGATGTAAAGCCTTCTTTTATTTTTTATTGATGGATTGTTGTATATAAATTGTTCCAAATCCTAGGTATAATTTAAATACCCATGAGGTTTAGCTGCAACCAATTTTTTTCTACTTGCGAATAATGAAAGCTATTCATAGGGGGCCATAGGAGAGAACAGTAACACAGATTAGGCTGGCTGGCATTGAACTCGGACAATTTGGAAGATTTCTAAAGGAATTTATTCAACTCATTTGTTTTTGCTGAATCAACTTGACTTCCACAGTTCGTTCATGTATTTTTAAGACTATTTGACTAAACTTTATTCAAAAGTGTTTTATATTCTGATCGTAAAATACTACTGAATTCATAAAATGTTATATGTAAGAATAATTTCTTATGATTTAGTCGACAAAGGATTGCCTCTTTCCTCTCCTACATTAAAACCAGATATAATATAAAATTTTTAAAATAATTATCAAAATTTATTCTTATGGTAAATAAACTGTTAAAATTTTTTTTTTACAATTTTAAGGATTGCGACATACTTGTACTAGTAGTGGAGAATGTGAAGAAGGAATGACGTGTCAGTTGGAAAATAGCAACCGAACTGTTGGCTTAGCAAAATTCATGTCGTCAAAGACAAAATTATGTCTTTGTGATAATGATAGTGGATACGTAGAAGATATTAAACTTGATATATGTAACGAAGGTAAAATATTTAATAAATATATTACATAAAGCCATCGAATCAATAATTTGTTTACTTTCAGCAACTTCACTGATCGCCAAGAACATAAAATTTATCTTTTTAAGCACAGCTATGCCTTTCATTGTTGCCACCGTTATAAAAAATTTTTCTTAAATTAAAAATGATAAATAAACATATATAGTCGTTATATGTGTTTAAATATATACTGCAATATAAATAGTTGGTTATAATGCTGCACAAAAAGCTAATAAATTCAAATGTAATTAATTTTTTGGATTCAGCTATTTAAAACTCACATTAGCAATAATTAACTGAAATTCGTTTTTATTCAATTTTGAAAAGCATCAAAATAAATTACATACTATCACTTAAACATACTTTTTTTAACATTACGTTTGTGAAAAAAATGTTATTTGTTATCTTTCTATAAATGAACACGTATTGTAATAAACATTACATGTTATTTTTAACTTCTTTTATTAAATTATTGTATTATGAACTCTGGCACTTATGCAGGTCTTACCAGGAGAACTCTAATCAAATAGAGTTTACAATACCAATGTCTGCTGTTTTTGGTGTTCACCACAGTGAACAGATTCGAGATAAATTATAGCCTATTCACTGCGCATGTAGTTTTAATTTTGATTGTAATTTTACTCATACGACTCGATTTGATAAAACTTATTCACACAGCAAATCATAATTTTATCACCATTTTGTTTCTTATTTTTGTAGTTGAGTTTGTGAATGAAAATACTGAACGTTGCAGCAATATTTTACTTTGTTTTATTATATTATATATTGTGGGACGTTGTATCATTGCACCGTCCAGCAAGTGGCCCTAATGAAGTGAAGGATTAGCCGAAGTAAACTACAAAACGACTTGGGCCCTTTTTCGTCCTTCGATTCTCGGATGTTGTTATTAAGTTAGAGCTAGAGTGGCTTCCATTCGCATAACTACATCTCTTGTTATTGCATGCAGGTCATTTAATTTGAAGTTGCCTGCCAAGTTATCACCAACCCAACGGTGTCCCAAGACCGTCATGCTCCTACTTGTCAATGCTGGATATTGGCCAATATATGCACCGCTGTCTCCTTTTTTTCTAGACATAGTCTGCAGCTGTCTTCCTCAACAAGAGTTATCAATGAGTTTAGGGTGCTTCGCGGATAACAAAGCACTTCAATCGCTTTCCTGGCCAACTATTTCGTCATCATGAGTTTAGTCTGTGTACAAGTGCTCATCTCTCTTCATCTATTAAGATAGACTGCAGTCATGTGAACAATGGCACAATGGTATTAAGGGCTGCAGAAGTTATGGCATGATCATTGCTTTAAAAGTTCATCTGACTTTTCGTTTTGCTCAATACAGTCCTTTGACCCACATGACTGTTACCCCATTTTCATGAGCACATATCATCAGCTTCGTGACACATTCTTGTACTAAGCTATTGACTATGCGCGTCTTTTACATGCTTCTGATAACTGCTTGATTGTCTAGCGCTATATATCTGACAGGCATGTCCTTTGACCCACATGATAACATATTTTCCTAGATGTAGAGTGTACGTTAGCTTTAACTCTTTCGAGTAAACTCCAGCTCCAGCTATGTCATCCATGAAGGAGAAGCTAATGTTATTCTTTTCACATTCATCATGCAGAAGACCGTCTACTATCAGTGTTCTACAGGACACTTCTGTCTAGTAAACTCTCCTCATAGTCAAGGAAAGACAGATGTAGTGTTTCCTTGACCGTGGTCTGGACGAGGTCAAAAATTTTTCGATGCCTCACTAAAGTTCCGAAGTTGCTTTTATTTTCTTTTAGGTGGCTTTATACCAGCAGACAACTGACGCATATGTTATAATAGATCGTGTAGATCATTATCGTGTAGACCCAGTACGTCAATTTTGGTGATTACTCGCAACGTCTTCAACACACTCTCTTCCACGTGTTTATTCCAAGTCAGTTTGTTATCTAGGATGAGTCCTAGATACTTCGTTATTACCGAAGAGCTGCAAGGGGTCCGTTGTCAGACTTCTCTTCCTCATCTCACCAGGCATCGTAGATACTCTACTTTGACCAGTAAATTTTTTCTTTTAGTCGCTTTTTACGACAAGCAGGGACCTAATGAGGTGGCATTCTTATTACACCACTACACGGTAGTGGCTAAAATATGCAAGAGTTATTCACAATATCGCGTAACATTTTTGTGAAACACAAAATTTCAATTTTCACGAATACTTTATTTTTGAAAGTTTTGTTGTAATTCAAGCCTTTGGATATTTTTATGGTATCGGATTGTAATTTCAGTTTGATTTTGCAATGAGATGAATTGTACGAGCAAAATTACTATTTGTGATATGTGAATAGGCTTTCAATCAAATGTTCAAATTCGAAGTTAAAGCGCAAATTTACATATTGCGTATGTAAAAACACGCGAGATTTGCCAAAAGAAAGTTATATAAAAACTTTAAACTTTGCCAAAGATGGAAAATAACATCATTAAAACCATTGAGTAAGTAGTAATAGTAGATTTATCTGGATGTGCCGAATATTTTTAGAAAGGATTAATAATCGACAATGGATACAATAAGGATTAGAAAAAATTTTAATATTATGCCAAATATCATTGATGCACCTTCATCAATATAATGCATAGGTACCAGAGAACTGTAACCCGTTATAATTTTAACACTCAGAGCATACTCATAAAAAAAACCCAATAAAAAGCGTATAAATGTTTTTCTCATACACTACTTATATGCATTCACATGCATAATGAAATGATTCATAAGTATATTCGTTTACGAATGCTGCTGCTAATGTAGGGTACCAAGAATTGTAAATGACTCATGAACCATAGCATATACTCGAGTAGTATGAATCAATGAATGTACTCGTAGAGCAGTCGCAGCATTCGTAAAAATTTTGTGTGAATGCTGTTTGCTTAGCAATTTAATTTTAATTTTTTTTGTGTGTTGGTGTTATGCTTTTAGTGTGCATTGTTGTTAACTTTGAATATTACATGTGCATTAAATTAGAGTTTGTTTTAGCTGAAAATTATATGCACAGTAAACAAAGCAGACAAATTTTTGCCGCTTAAGACGTAATACTCATGAATGATTCACAAATCATTTGCATCACTTTTTTATCGAATGTCGGTGTTAATGAGTATCGTATGAGAAGAGTATAAATCGTTATAATTGCTGTCAGCTGTATTTATGAATCAGGTGGAGTCGAAAATACAAAAAAAAAGGGAGTAATAATACAAAAAAAATATTTGATCTGGACACCGTTTTTCGTTTACTGTGACAACTAAAACATATTGCAACTTATAAACATCGATGATGTAGTACTTACGAATTATGCTAGAAGAAGTCTGGTAATGTTTTTTTTTTGTTTAATAGATGACTTATATTAACATCTCACATCAGTGTTATGTTATTTTATTTTTTACAAATAATAAAGGTTTGGTTGAAAACACATGGTAATCGTTTTACTAATGATGTATCTATTTTAGTGTAATCAAAAACAAGCAACTTTCAATATTTTGGGATCTCTTGCTTTGTTTTGTGCTCAAATAAACGACGATAAGCGACATATGAGTACACTCAATCGTCTTAACATTGTCAAGAGTGGTGAGTAACATGTTAGAATATATGGCAAAATTCATTAGAAGTTTCTCAACTAATATAGCATTTACATTGGCCGAAAATGACTCATTTTGAATGAGCCATTTGAAAGTGTTTACATTCGTTGTAATTCGTTTGTTCTTATTTCAAACAGCTGATTTTTCAACTTGCCTGTTGATTTGATTTGAATGAAGGTTAAATATGCCTTCAAACCTTACAATATAAACTTAAAACATATTTTTAATTTCGATTAATTACTTTTTGGGAAGTAGAAGTTCTAAAAAGAGGTGTATCGTTTTCAAGAAAATGCAACCACCAAACATTTGTTTACCTTTTTTGTAAATATGTCAAAAACAGCTTTCTCAAACTGTGAAAATGCCATGAAGAGCTTTTATTTATGGTATGTTCAATTTATTCGTTTGCATTTGAAACATATTTGGAACGCATGCGAACGTCGTTGGGACGCATTCATACAGAATGTGATGGAATAGCTCATTCGCGCTTGAAATTTTATATGCAATTATATATTTATACGCTTCTCATTTTCGATTTTTGACCAAAATTAGCCATTTTCGGCCAGTATAAATGCCGTATAACTCAAAAAAGACGGCTACATAAAAATAATGTGAGGTTATTGCCATGCCAGAAACAATTCATTTTAGGACTATTGAAAGCAATTTAATTGGTTTACGATCAACTTGCGAGTACTGAAATAGAAAAAATAAATCCTACGATACCGGTTGCATTAGACAATATTGCTAGAATCGATGGCTTATGGATTATTGTGAAACAGTTAAAAATATTCTAAGAAGTGTTAAATTCAGATGGGCCGACAAAACTCAAATGTTAAAGTAACGATTGCTAACGGTAAAAAGAAAACGTGTGTAGAATGACATCAATTATAAAAGAGGCACATTTAAACATTTATTTAAAGAAATCTAATAAAGTAGTTTTATATAAAACTTAATTGCGGTTTTATTTGTTCATTTCAAAGTCAATTGTCGCAAACATAAGAGTTAGACGAACTCAACAACAGCTTTGTATTTAACATGATAGCGGAATTTCGAGCAATGGGTTCCATACTACCAGAAATAGAGCTGCCCAAAATTTGTGGAACATGTCAAAAATGCATAAATTTCAATAATACAATTTAAGGTTTAGAAATCCGGTCATAGGAAGTCTGTAATGGAAGATCAAGTATCAGTCTCTTATATTCCAAATCATGGAGTGTACAAGAAATCCAGCACAGCAACTAAACTGCGAACGGTAATGAATGCATCCAAAAAGGAGACAAGTGAACGGTTGTCTTCATGTCGATCCGTAATTACAGAATGATATATGAATTATTCTCATCAATTACCGATTGTATAAAATAGAGTTCATGGTAGACATCAAGATATATTATCAAAGCCGACGCTGATGTGCAAAGCATCAAATAGTGAGAGATGAGAATAGCAAACTTGCTATGCAAACCTCACCATATGTAACAATCAAGGTATTACATTTACTCGCAGACCATGAAAAGAATAAATATTCAAAGGCAACGAAAGTACTGCTTTACTCCTTTTACCTGAATATCTGCTTGCATGGTGCTGATTCAATTGAAGAAGTTGTTTAGCTTACGATATAGTTCCATGAATTATTTTATCACGGTGGTTATACTGTGCCAAACGAATT